AGCAATTGAATTGAAACACAACACTCAAGTGAATGTTTCATTTGAAAAATTCTTCTTTCCGATGAAACTATTTGAAAGTCTTTTCGTTCATTCGAAAAAGAGATAATGTCTACTGAAGGAGATTGCACTGCATTGAAGGAATGAAACAGATAATAAGATTGCTTAATTTACTTACGAACCTCATGAGTATCTAAACAACTTCAAACATTGCATGTTTCACGAGGTAGTTTCTTAATACTTGTTCCGATCAGAGTTTCATTAATGAACGATTACATGCAAAGCAAAGAATTTGTTTTGCTCATTTGCATTCGTAAACTTTGAATCACTTCAGTCCAGTAGAACATTCGTTTTTTTGAAGGATTGCTGTGTGGATGACGTAAATTCGAATAAAGTTTTGAGAAGTGCCACTGATATGATGCCATATGCCATGATCAGCACTATTCATGAAAGTTTTTGCCTGGTAAAATTCAGTGCATGCAAGTGTACAATTTTCATCAAATAGCCCTCGTCGACGTAATCATCTAATACGTCACAACATGCTACATTAAAATATCTGAATAACTCTCGGAAAAAAACACGTTATCGCGTGTTAAACCAATAAAGCATTATGAAAATTCAATTGATGTAGGTGTACCATTAAAGGTGAAACAACTCGAATTCAATCATGCTAAGAAATTCTTGTTTCCATAATTTTATTGAACTTATGCGACACGAATTGCTCTTTTTTTCTTCAAAAATCAATTCAATTAAAAATGCTGCAACGAACGGATACAGTTTCAACGAACACTAGAATAGGGAAAAACAATGGTGGGTGATTTTTTTTTTGGATAGCAGCTGATAGAGGGATTTGAAGAATGCGTCTCGAACTGACTGAAGATCCGACCGAATATAAAATTACTGCAACACAGGTATGATTATAGATGAAGTAAAGCCTAATTTCCAACAATAAGCTGCCGAAAGTCAAGAATGTCAGATGTGAGATTCGTTATGCCTGAAAGCTGCATGATTGATACAGATGTCGTAATTTTGCGGTCAAGATAGCTCGTGAGCGTAGAAATTTTGAAAAAAACAGTCGAATTCTAAATATTCAACCAAGCTGTGACGTTGTTCCATTGGTGAAAATTTATTCATCGCCGAGCTAACCGATAGAAGTGGATCATTGAAGAATTTCGCATTTTTCGTATTGATTCGAATTTGCAAACCTTGATTTCGTCAACTTTCAATCATTGGACTAATCCATTACACTTTTGACCAGTTTGGATGAGAATCACATACATATATATTAATGTTTTGTTTTGTTTAACTGGATGTGCCCATGCAGATCAAGGTTATCCGTGCAAATAAAAGAAATATTACCGTAGGCGAAATTGTCTATTAGCATGCAAAGGAGGAGGCAACCAACCGACTACCACTGAAAATAAAAATATCGGTGTAATTCAGAAGCACCTCCGACGAATCTCGAACTGTTCAAGTGGGTCTTAACAAAAACACTGATAAGATGAAACGAATACGTTGAAGAGTGAGTGCTAAAATAGGTTCTCAGGTATGCGAAATGCTCAAAATACAAAGCAGCTGCCAAGTGTGTCCATATGATGCGACGTCGTCGATCAATTAGCAATTGCCAATGGATGCCGTGCAGCAATTTTTTTCACCTCATTGAGCCTCACAATTGTCAGTGATTCTCTTGAGACGAAGTCCTCTCGCTGATGGCTAAATTAGTTCCTCAGACGGCAACTCTTCCCTGTTGTTATTCAGCCGTACACTTGGACTCAACAACCTCTTACACTTAGTCATTAATGTATTATAGCTTCATCCGCATATTCATTATTCACACAATATGTTCAACAATGTGGTGCAACTGTTGTGGTGTGATGATATAGAAGAAGAGGAGTGGAAGAACACAGCTGATAAGTTGAGTTTGAGGTGTATTGGGTTGTTGGTTGGCATAGGGTTTGGATTGAGCATTGAGAGAATGAAGAACGAGATGATGCTGCCTGCTGGCATTCAGTTATCATTTTTTGTTTTGACAGAATGCTCAGAGTTCGAGATTAATGCTCAGAGGCAAATTCATTTAACACGTTCATCCACACACCATTCACTCAACTCTAAATTACGTTCATTTTCTCTTTGAATCGTCTCATTGATTCATATCGAAGCATCGTTAGTTATCTCATTCCAAATTGATGTGACGACGCTATTATCCATCCAAATGTTCCTCACTGCTTTCATGCCATATCAAAATCGTTAACATTCTCCATGCATCTGTCTATGTTTTAGATAGTTAAAATGCTTGTTCAGATATTTGAATATTCAACTTTGAATTCTCGTTTACGATCGACGACGATTCGTTGCTCACTAATAAAATTCGATGATTATGTTTAGCTCACGACCAGCTGTGAATCGATCGGATCAACAAATGAAGTGAACTCGATTACCGATCGCTGTGTGGATGTTATTGATGACCTGTTATTCATAAATACATCTGTTAATGAACACATAAAGTGAATCGGTAAACAACTCAAACAACTTCGATAATCCACTTGATAATGGAATCGCATCGCGCTCGAACACCCGCCGATGGCCCATTCAGTGCCAAATCAAACACGATGACTCGTGGTCGACCAACTGAAACATTTCGTCAAGATTCAAATATGGGAATGAATACGGTAAGGGCACCATCAATGGTGGAGGTGAGCCAATAATCTGATGATTACTTGGAACAAACCAGAATTTACTCTTTCCGCATTCGATACATCATTATTCCCTGGCATTCTCTCTGTAAAATTTTCACGATGATAATCACTTTGTGATTACCTACCCATTAACGTTCTAATCAACCAGCAAATTTGTTGTGAATCTCTCGCAACATTTCATGAAGAATCGACGCACACTTGAATGAATAATCAGAAATTTTCCAAAGAATAGCTGCAAGTGCAATCAATCTTCGATACATTCAAACTGATTTGCATTCAACAAATGAAGTGATTTGCATTAAGGATTTGTTGACGGCTAATTCACGGCCTTTTAATGCGGGTGATGAAGTGGAAAGACCGCATCACAGACGCAGACGACGTAAACGAATTGAGGTGTGAGTTTTGTTTTGCTGCAAATTTAGCCGCACATCGTCACTATCCATAAAGGTCTTTATGTATGGTGGTCAAACTGCATGAATACTTACGCCTATTACGGATTATTCTAAGGAATACTATTCTGGAACTAACGATCCATCAATCCTCTGTTCACTCTGATCCAATTGATCATTTGGTTCAGTGATTTTACAACTCATTGGATGCTCTCCCTCAATGATGTTTGTACTTTCTGAACCACAAGTGAACATAAATTATAATCGAATTGTGGTGATGGTTTGTGTTTGCTTTCAATACGCGATCATTCATTCGTGAACGAATTCTTCGAATAGCTGGAAGGAGTTCATGGACTTATGACTTATGTAGAGCCCAACAAAGCAAAATCGAGCAAGAGAATGTAGGTGAGCACTTTAGAGTGTGATCTGAAGTATGAACCTGATCTCAGATAACCGCAACGAGCAGTACTCATTGCATTCATTTCTTTATCATATCTCCTTTTATCATGTCTTCTTGTACGATTCACGATGACTTCAAAACATGAAGGAAACTGCCGAAAAAATTCTCGGTCCAGTTTGGAGGCGTGAGTTACATTTAAATTAGTGAAACAACGCACTAAATCGAATTATCCTTCGAAATCTTCAGTTCCGTAAAACATTGAAAGGTCAATTGAAAAAGTTTATGAATTTGGCTTTATGTGATCGAAGTTGAACATTATAAACGATCCGATCAGGGTTGACTGACGAATATGCGAACATCGTACTATAAAATAGGTTCACCAACTGTTCCTACTCTTTTTTAATGAATCCATCCGTAAAACTCCAACGCTGTTCGCAAGTGCAGTTCTACTTTGCTTTAGCTTATCTCTTTTGTTAACACAATTAAATCGCTATCGATAGCAGAACTGAACAACGATAATAAATTTATTTTTGTTGACTATTGATTGACTCGAGCTGTTTGCTGATGTTGTGCGTTCCGCTGTATATCTCACGAAAAAATCCTAGCTTCTAATCTATTGCATCTTCGTTCTCGACAAAAAAAGAGCACAAAACAAGAAAAATATCTGAACATATTGCTCCACTGTGCATATGTTCAATTTCGAAACCATAAGCAGGTCACGGATCGTGACAGCTTGTCCATATGTTCAGTGTGTTGATTCATTGCTCTCATTAACTGATCTGCACGAACAATTTCAGTGGATATGTTCAAAATGACCCACCTGAAATTATCGTTTCGATAACTCTAATTGTAAGTAAGGATTTATTTTGGAAGAAACGGAAGGAGAACTTGCTAACTGCTTGAAACTGATTGGTTTTTGATTTACATCGCCCAAATGTGAATTCCGATGGTGAACTTATTGCTGTTGACATTCTGATTGTGGAACGCAATTTTAGCATTCATTCACCATACCACCATCATTTGACTCTAATTCCATTCGAAAATTAACTTCAGGTCGTTGTTGATAAGCCGAAAGTAGTT